AGCTGTATGTATCTCATCATTTAAAATTTTTTATTTTTTCTTTGGTGCACTAGCTGGGTTTTATGGGAGAGGAAGAGAATCTGGAGGTTTTATTTACTTATTTCATTTATTCTTTGTTTTTTCTTTGAATTGTAAGAACTTGAAGTTTGTAAAAGAAAAATATTTCAGGTTTCCTATAAATAAAGATAGCAGTAATGTTTGGAAGAAAGCTCATGGGCCCCCACTCCCTTCCACTCTGTACAAAGAAGAGAGGTGGAGGGCAGACAATTTCCTTTTAAGCAGGTGACCCAGAAGTTGCTCACGTTGTTTCTGCCCTCAGCTCTGGCAGACTTAGTCATCTGACCACACCAAATGCAAGAGAGGCTAACACTCTGTTACTGTGGAAGAAGGGAAGAATGGACTTTGGAGGTCACTCTCAGTCTGCCTAAACAGGTTAGGTCTGGCCAGAAATAGATCTTGAGGATTATAGATATTCTTTACTTGAAGTACTAAAGTATTTCAAGAACACGGGAACTAGGACTTGGCTAACTAGAGAATGTGGGTTAAAATAGCCACCCTACATTCTTACTCATTTATTAATTTTAATTCCAATACTGGGCATTTAAATTCTTAAAGCTGACTTCATTGTAGCTCTATGGAAACTTTCAGTACTGCATCCTTTTTTAATATCCTAGTTTCCTGTATTTAAATGAAATCTTTTTTAATGTCTTTGAATCATGCTTGTGTGCATACACACACACACACAAAATGGTGGAAGAGTTCACCTGCCCTCACCTTAGTAATTTATTCCTTTTATCTGTTATTCTAATCAGTAGAGGTATAAGAAGCAGAGCACCTCTTCTGAGCTTCAGAGGCCACGTACTGTGATTTAGAGCCTGTTTGAAATTGGATAGACATGAAATCAGAAACCTTCCAATTTATCATCACTCAGTTTAATGAGCCAAAGATTTCATGAAAATTGGGACATGGAAGAGAGAAATACATAGGTTTTTGGTTACTTTTATTGTATTTTTTATGACCTGTGTACAACTTGGCATAAATGATGATAAAACTGATTTTTAGGAAGTGACTTAGATCAGCAAATCTAAGCCTGACCATCCAGTAAAATTGAGAAATTAATGGCAGTTGACATGGAGTTTTTTGAGTCTTAAGTGTAAGCTGAGGTATTTTTATTTTTAAAATATATGTATACATAATCTGAGATAATTTGGGAGAACTCTAAGGAACTTCATGAAAAAAATTGTTCTGCTTCTGTCTTCATCTCCATTGAAAGTATACCTTTAATGTACATGTAAATCCCAAAAGGTCAGGCTTTCCAGTAGCTATTTCCAAATTGTGCCAACAGTTTGTATAGCACTACCCCGTGTGCTATAGAGGACACAGATGCATACTGTATGTTCCCTTCCTGTAGTTGAGGAGGCAGAATTTAACACATTGTTTAAAAAGTACATGAAGCAAGCTATGCAGCTGAAGATGTATATATAGTTATACTGTACCCAGACTCTGAGAGCTGACTGTTACAAGGCAGTATGTATCTAATTTACAAGAATTCAAAAAAGATAAGGGTGACTTAGGCCAGAATAGTCATTGGAGGGATGTTCTTTGTATAACTAGATTGACAGAAGGCACTTACAGAAGAGGAAAATGAAGTTAGCAAATGTATGCTGGTTTGAGGATTCACAAGACATGCTTAAGAAACTACAAAACAGATTAATCTGGCAAAGATAGAAGTTACACATAGAGAATAGGCTAGACTTGCTTATTGAAGTCAGGCTGTGAAACATTCCTGAAAGCCAGGATAGAGAATTTGGAATTTTTTTAAGGAAGCCATTGAAAGTTTCTGAGTAGGAGATGTTAAATCAAAAAAAAAAAAAAAAAAAAAAAAAAACCAAACCCATTGCCTTTAAGTCGATTCTACCTCATAGCAGCCCTATAGGACAGAATAGAACTATCCCATAGGACCCTAGTATTTCCAAAACTATAAATCTTTATGGAAGCAGACTGCCTCACTTTTTTCCTGCAGAGTAGTTGGTGGGTTCAAACTGCCAATCTTTTAATCAGCAGCCAAATGCTTAACCACTGCATCACCAGAGCTCCTTAGGGGATGTTAGATGTGGCTATTTAGACTACTCTAGTAACTATACTGAGTCAATTAAAAGGAAGGAAGGGAAGGGAGTCCAATTAGGAAGGTATTATACAATTCTAGATATGACATGTTCAGAAAAGGAAAAGATGGATTGGAAAGACTTTACCTCAAGGATGTGAACTGAGGGAAAAGAACAGTGAAGAAATGTTCTGAGATTGAGCCTGTTTTCAAACCAAACCCACTGCTATCAAATAGATTCCGACTCATAGCGACCTTCTAGGGCGGAGTGGTACTCAAGCCCCATAGGGTTTCCAAGGCAGTAAATCTTTACGGAAGTAGGCTGCCTCATCTCTCTCCCCCAGAGCTGCTAGTGGGTTTGAACTGCCAACCTTTTGGTTAGCAGCCAAATGCTTTAACCACTATGCCATTAGAGCTCCTTAGTCTGTTTACAAGGGGCAAGATAATCCCATTGTCAGAAATACTAAATATGAGATGAACCTGAAAATTCAGATGAAAATACAGTTAAGTGTTAGAATTTAAATAAGAAGTAATAGATTTGGGGGTATAGATTTGGAAGTCCTTTCCCTAGAAATTATGAATGAATCCAAGAACACGTCAATAAGTAGGATAAGAAAGATAGTGAACAAAGAGAAGATAGCAGAGATAAGTTTCCATACTTGGTGAAAGGACCAAAGTGTATGTGCCTTAAAAGAGGGTAATGATAGTACACGTGGAAAGGTCCAGAGAATCAACTAAATGTGGTCAAAAGGGAAGTGTTCAAAGAAATAGTAAAGAATGTGTTAGCGGCAGGAAGACCAAGAGATTTTCAGAAAGCAGAGGAAGATCATTGGGGCCAAATTCTATGGATATTGGAGAATAAGAAGAGAACAAAACATTATATTTGACTGTTAGGGAAGGAGAGGGAGAGAGAGACACATTTACTGCATGCCTACTATGTGGTAGATGCTTCTACATTTTCAATTCTGTTCCTCAAAGAAAAATTATGTCCTCTTTTTTTTTTAAATTGTGATTTGGGCAAAAATTTACAGAGCAAATTCATTTTCCATACAGTATACGTTCAGACACATTTTGTTTCATGACACTGACTGCCATTCCCTGCAATGTAACAGCTCTCTTCCTACTTCCTCACCCTTCCCTCCCAAGCACTTTTGACCCCCTGAGATGTCTCCCTGTGCAAACACTGCCCTTCTGTCCTCCCATGATTGATCGCTCCAAGGAGTGTATCTACCTCATGTAAATGTTCACCCCATATGCCTGTCTGTTGTTTGGCTGGAAGCCATAGGAGTGAGTTCAGTTCAGACCTGAAGGGTAATTAGGGGCTATAGTCTTAGGGGTCTCATGAGGCTCTATCAGACCAGCAAAACTGGTCTTTTTCTTATATGATTTTGAGTTTTGTTCCACATTGTTTCCTCACTCTGTCTGGGATCCTATATGAATTCCCCTCTGAGTGCTGAGTTGGGCACCATCTAGTTCTTCTGGTCTCATGGTCATATAAGCTGAGGATCACATAGTCTCCTAGGCCCTTGGACTACTTGTTCCTATGCATTTGGTTTTCTTCATTCTTCTTTGCTCTAGACAGGGAGAGACCTATCTTTGCATCTAGATGGCTGCTTGCAAGCATTTAAGACCCAGCTGCTACTCACCAAAGTAGGATGTGGAACAATGTTTTTGTGTAGTATGTTATGCCAGTTGAGCTTGGTGTCCCCTGTGACCATAGTCCCGAACCCACAGGTACAACTGCTTGCTCCTTCGGTGTAGCTGGTTGTGGCCAAGAAGCCACCACAATCTTTTCCCTTATCAGCTCTATATGTCCTCATTTTTTACTTAAAGAAACTAAAATAAATCTTAAGTTTCAGGACTAAAACCCAAGTCATGAATTTTTTCACTGAATGATGGTGATGGTCATCTGTAAAAGAAATGAATGATTTAATTGTAGATTGCTATTGCCTTTTAGTATTACCAGAATCAAGAGTCATTTGAGTATAGCTCCACCCATAGCTAGATCTAAGGATTTTTTTTTTTTTTTTTTTTGTCCTATTCTCAGAGATTTGTAGCTGAAGGACCTTCTGAGTTGATATGATTTTACAGATTAGAAAAATAAGACCTGGAGGCTTTAAAGATGTGAAACAGAGTAAACCTGGTTCTAGAAACTCAGGCCCCTTGACATGGAACTGGTGCTCTTCCTACTCATTCATACTAGCTCTTTGTACAAATATCGGGTGGTGTTTGTCTCACTGCACCAACCAGAGCTCCCAGGTTTGTTCTCTGGTATCTCTGTGATATATCATCTCAAATAGATAATACGTACTATTCAACTGCCTGTGGCAGTAAGTATTCTATAAAGTGAAGTTGATTACCTCAACAGATCCATAAGCTGTTGAGTATTTTCCTTCTAATTAATCAGCAAGATGCATTTGGAAAGGAGGGTACGTGCAAGTCATAAGTATCTGAGGTCATTTTTGCTTTCTACAATGTTTTTTGTTGTTTGTTTTAATGAGAGATAGAGGAAAGACTTTTAGTCCTGCTTTATATTAAAAAATAATTACAGAGTGTCTCTATGTAGCCTTACTATATTTTTTCTTTCTTTTGGTAAGGGGATAGAAAATGTAAACACATAAATTCAGTATAAGCCAGCTCTTATTTTCAAAAACAAATTATTATCTAGTGTATTTCCCTTCATATAGTAAAAGAATTGTTATGAAAGAAAGTTGTGAGAAAAATCCATGTTAATGTTCCTAGTATCTCAAGTGAGTTGTCTTAATCTGCCTATCCTTTGAATTTACTATCTCCTTCTACCCACTTCCACCCATTTATTTAACAACTAATCACATTAAGATGTTTGATAGCTAAGACTTAGATTGATGGCTCACCTGTGCTGCTTTCTTTTTTCCAGACCTTTGATGAATGTGTAGCTGAGGGTGGCTCAGATTGTGCTCCAGAGAAGCTCTGGCTTCAAATCCCATTCTTCTGTGGCCACAGCTCAGAATGCTGGTAGGGAGATAAAGTTAGCTTCAATTGATAACCTGCTTTATTATCTCTACGGTCTGTATTTAAGAAATGTGAATGTGTTGGTCAAGGGTTTCTGCTGTTAATTGCCATGGAGTCAGCTTTTTGACTTATAGTGACTTTATGTATAATAGAATGAAACATTGCCTGGTCCTGCAGTATAAGAAAATGGGTGAAAGACCAAACTGAAAATCACAACATGTAATTAAGTATTAGGTAGTTTTGTAGTTAAATGTGTTTAGAAAGATTCCTCATAAATACATCTTCCTTAAAACCATAGTCAGAAATTTAAGAAATGCCCTCTGTTTATTATTTGAGATGTGTTATTGAGGCCCTACACTCCTTGGGAAGGAAGGTTGGGCAATCTTCTTCTGTAGTGATACCACCTCAGAAACCCAAGAGGAGTGGCTATGAGTTGGGGCCGACTCAATGGCACAACAACTGAGTAGATGGTATCAGAGTATCATAATAGCATGGGAAGAATTAGAAGCATAGAATGAATTACCTCTCAATTTTAAAGTGTTTCCTTAGAACAGGGATTGGCAAGTTATAACCCAGGAATCAACTCCAGCTTATCATTTGTTTTTATAAATAAAGTTTTATTGGTTCACAACCACAACCATTTGTTTATTTAGTGTTGTTTATGGATGTTTTTTTGTAACAACAGTAGAGTAGTTGATACCAAGATCATGAGGCCTGCAAGGCCTAAAATACATACTCTCTGACTCTTTACAGAAAAAGTTTGCTAGCCCCTGCCTTAGAATAATAAGGGGTTATTTTTTATTCAGCATTATTGAGAAGATTTTAATTGAACTTCTTTAGTATGTTCATAGACTCATACAGCTGGAAGGGACCTTAGAAATAAACTAGTTTGCTCCCTCACTCCCCTCCCTTTTTTTTTTTCCCACAGCTGAGGAAACAAAGGAGGTTGTCACCAGCCCAAGATCACACTGCTACTTAATTGCAGAGCTGGAATTGGGATTAGCTGAAAAGAACCCCAAAATATAGTTTATTTAGGACTAAATCTCTATTAATAGCCATTGACTCACAATGTTAAAAAAAAAAATTCTTATCAGAACCATTTCTTACCTATTTCATATTCTTCAGAAACGTCAAAAATCCAAAGCTCAGTAAAAGCAAAAAAGCTCACAAATTAAGATAAACACTAAGCACAAATTGCATAGACCTTATTAGAGAGCTCTGAAAATAAACAGAGTTTAGTGTAGAGTAGTTTTACATTACACTGCCCTCAGTATAAACTGTGTTCATACTAAGTAAGAGTCCTCTAGTAAAGTCTGTCTCAGCACTGCATAAATAAGCAAGCAAAAACTGGAGACGGTGGCAAAGGAAAGAAACAGTTGTGGTCCCCAAATGACATTAATAAAAAGGGCATTAATTAAGACTTAGGGATGTACATGTGTTTATCTATTTTCTCCATTATATACAATGTCAAAGCCTTGAAAAATGTGTAGCAGATTTCCCAAGCAGGTTTTTAATTCCTTTTTTTTTTTTTGGTTTTAGGAATGTGGGAAGCAGGTGGGCTATGGATCAAGCCAAGTATAACCTAATTAATGAATACTTTCTGGTGGGAGTTACTGAAGAGCTTGAAGATTTTATCATGTTGTTGGAGGCAGCTCTCCCCCGCTTCTTCAGGGGCGCAACAGAGCTCTATCGTACAGGTATATGAATGATAGGGTTTTTTTTAAAGATTTCCTTAACTTTATCTTGTTGTTTATGACTTGAAAAATATGTGTGAATTTAAGTTTCTCCAGGAAAAGGTAAATAACTCAAGAAAGACAGGTATATTGTTTGTCTGAGCTTACCATATTCGTGGTATACTGAAGATGTTCCTTCAGTATTTGTTGAGTGAACATACATGCACTAGGTGAGAATTAGAAGATGTTATAGGAATAGTAGAAAGATACAGACTGCAGAACTAGCCTTATATAAATGTGTGATATTCAGTAATATGGGATGCCAAACACAGGACTGTGCATTTTCACCCTTAGACTTGCTTAAAGCCATTTAGAGTAGAGTTGGAATGGTGAGACTGAGTCTCACTAATAATGAGCAGCATGTAGTAGGTCTGTTGTATTATGTTGTCCTTGTCAGGTGCCGTTGAGTCAGTTCCAACTCATAGCGACCCTGCGTGCAACAGAAAGAAACACAACCCGCTCATACACCATCCTCACAGTCGTCGCTATATTTGAGCCCATTGTTGCAGCCAGTGTGTCAGTGCGTCTCATTGAGGGTGTTCTTTTTCACTGAGCCTCTGCTCTACCAAGCATGATGTCCTTCTCCAGGAGCTAACTGGTCCATCCTGATAACTTGTCCAAAGTACGAAGATGAAGTCTTGCTGTCCTCATTTCTAAGCTTTCTGGCTGTACTTCCTTCAAGACAGATTGGTTAGTTCTCCTAGCAATCCATGGTATATTTAATATCCTTCACCTACACCATAATTCAAAGACATCAGTACTTCTTGCACCCCCCTTAATTATTGTCCAGCTTTCACATGCATATGAGGTGATTGAAAATACCATGGCTTGATTCAGGTGCACCTTAGTGCTCAGGGTGACATCTTTGCTTTTTATACTTAGCACCTCTAGAGGTATGCTTAACCAACCTTGACAGTATTACATATTACAGTATTACTATCTGAAAGTGACTGTGCTGGTCCAATCTAATTCTGATTTTTTTTTTTTTTTGCTGCTTTTTGGTAAGATTCAATAATAGGAATTCCTCTCTGTGTCCTAGCTTCCAATATAAAACTATAGAGAATGTAGATTATGAGATGCTAGTATTAAACTTGTTAGTAGGTGTTTTATCATATTTTTAAAAATAAACTAGTGTTAGAGCACCAAAAGCTTGAGAATACAATGTGGAAGATGACAGCCCACACTTTTACTGAGTGTTGATCCTTTCGTTTCCTATTTGACATCTCAGAAATCTTTAACAGGCTAAGGATTTACATTATAAAGGAATAAATTAAGTTGTAGAGCTCCTTTTTTACCTAAATTACATTATATGACTGCAAGACATGTTATATTACCTGTTCTTCATTGTGTCATATAAACTAAAACCACCTCTTCAAAAAGAAAGGTATTGAACTTTTGTATGTTCTCCAAGAATTAATTACCTTTTCTGTTTTTTTTTTTCCCCTTCGTTAAGTAGGAAAGAAATCTCATCTTAGGAAAACTACAGAGAAGAAACTACCCACTAAACAAACCATTGCAAAACTGCAGCAATCTGACATTTGGAAAATGGAGAACGAGTTCTATGAATTTGCACTAGAGCAATTTCAGTTTATCAGAGCTCATGCTGTTCGAGAAAAAGATGGAGACCTCTACATCCTTGCACAAAATTTTTTCTATGAAAAGATTTATCCCAAAGCGAACTAAATACAAGGTGTGACTATTAGATTCTTGAACTAAATCTTTGACCCGGTCTTCACCTTAGTTCTAAGCTCTACAACCTGGATTGCTTTTAGATGTGTAAGACAATTTGTATTGTCCCAAGTTAGGAAACAGACAATGATGTCAAAGAAATGAATGGATACTGGCTGGTATGTCAGTGTTTTAAGAAGTTTAAGTTTCAGGGTTTATTTTTTTTTCTTATTAAGTTTTGGTAGGAGTTATAACCTCCCACCTGGGAAAAAACCTACACTTCACCTAAAATATAAAAATATAGCAGGTATAATCAAAAGGCTAAGTACAGTATCAGGAAAGTTTCTGATACTATGCTTTTTGATAAAGCATTTTTCAACTAATCATAAGTGAAAGTGAATCCATTTGCTACTTCTACCTTCACCTGGAGGTTTGAGGTACACACCTCTACTGAATAGTGTTAATAACTGTTTGGCAGTGTGTGCTTTGTTTTTGTGAATCATGTCCATGAAATTTATTGGAATGTTCAATCCTGTTTGCTAAGAAATGTTTCTGCTGTAGTTGGGTTTTCCCATATATATGTAGGTTGTTTTAATTTTTTAAAAAATGCTCATTAGTGTTAAAAACCAATTTCAACCATTACTAACACTGTAAAAAGAGAGTCGAAGCAGTATTTCTCATTCCTGTCTTTCCAGTATCTCGGGAAGACACTTCAGAGAATGTTGACATTGCCTCAAGTTTTAGTTAAGACACACTGATCTCAAAAAAATAATTTTAGTATTTGTTTCTCCATGGATTATTTGTAATAGCTGTATCTGAAATACCGGTGACTCCATATTATGACTCCATTAGTGAGCTGTAGTATGGGTAGGGTTTTCCTACATCTTCTGTACTTTTACCTGTAGACTATTTTTACTAAAGTGCTTTATAATGTGTTTTAAAGCATTGCATTTACAGAAAAGGAAAATGCTGTATATATTGCATATTTTATGTATTTGGACCAAAAGATTACAAGTAATTAGACAAAAGTGGTTTTGCACCAGTTTTATTATGTCAAGTAAAACCATCAGACCTACTGTTCTTATATTTCTCATTTAATGTTACTGTTAGACATCACTGAAATGAACTTAAGTAACCTTTCAATTTTGATACACAGTACATTATTCATAATTGGAAGCAGTAGTTATAGTGGAAAGAGTCCTGGACAAGGAGTCAGAAAACTTGATTTCTAGTTCTGGCTCTGCCACTTAGCAGCTGTGTGACCTTGGGCAAGTCACTTAACCTTTCCTTGCCTCAATTTCCTCATCTTGAAATGAGGATAATAATACCTGCTGTACCTACCTCACAGGGGTGTTGTGAGGATTAAATGAGGTGGCGTGTGAAAGCACTTTGAAATCTATGAAGCGCTACATAAATGTAAGGTATTATAGAAACATCCTTACCCTATAGTTTCGTTCCATTCATTTTTTTAGTACAAGAAAGGGTAAAAGTCCACTTATATGCTGGCTGAAAAAAAAAAAAAAAGTTAATCTTGGTATAACTTTGTGTTTGATAACTATCTGCTCAGTGTTTTTCCTGTTTTCAGCAGCTATTGGAATATGAAACACCTGTGAACTCTTAAAGCTTCATGAGCAGCTGCTTGAGGTCAGGAGGGCTCTGTTTGAAATAGACTTCATTATCTGACTGGGGCAGGGGAATCTTTGCTCTCCAAATTTGAAGGATTTTTTGTTTTTATTTTACATTACCATTCAGAAATGGTAGCTATTTTATACCTAGGGCTTCTAAGGTATATTTTACAGAGTTTAATTTCCCTGTGCATTCTTTACCTTCTTCCCCTTGTTGGAGTAACAGATTTTCTAAAAGGATAATCTTTAATATGCTTAGTTTAATAAATATTCCTCAGCAAGACCTCACCAAACTATGTAAACATTTTAGGCAATTTGCCTTAAACGTTATTCACTATGGAAGTGTGGGGAGTGGGAAGCACTAAACAGAAAAAATTTAAAATTTGAAGAAAAACCAAACTATGTTGGCAAAAATAATAATAATAATAATAATTTTAGGACCCCTTTCCTCCAATAACATGAGAATGTTAAGAGAACATGGCCAAGCATAATTTTTTTTATTTGGCTTTCTTTTGCTTTTCTCTCCCCGCCCCCCCACCTTCCATTTCTCTCTTCCTCTCTCTTTTTCTCAATACGTTCATTAACTTTTATAGGTATTTTTTAAACACATATACAAATTATTTCCTTGCCTCAAAGGAAAGTACCACATCAGTGGTATGATGTGTGGGAATTTTTTATGTTTACCTGTTAATGAACCCCACTATGTAGGTTGTTCTTTGAGTACAAGCTAAAATCTTCTAGAGGTGCATTAACTCTTTTAGGTACCTAAGGTAGCACTTAGTACACTAGATCAGGGGTCAATAAGCTTTTTCTGTAAAGGGCCAGAGTAAATATTTTAGCTTTGTGGGCTACATGGTCTCTCTCACAACTATTCAACTCCGCCATGGTTTCACAAAAGCAACCACAGACAGTACATACACGATTGGGCATTGCTGTGTTCTGATATTACTTTATTTACAGAAACAGGTGACATGTCAAACACAGCCCATGGACTTTTTAGTTCACTAACCCCTGCACTAGAGAAATCCTTATTAATGGAGAAATCATTTTTGAATTTGTACTCTACTGGCCTAAAATGAGTTTATATACTTTGAAAAGCTCCTAACGTATCCAAAGAATTAACTTTCTAATTCATGCGGTCCCTCCCACGGATTCATAAACTTTTACGACTTAGATTGCTTCCAGGTGGGCGTGTTTTCTTTCCCAGTTTAAGAGTTCAGTATGGGGGCATGTATTCTGTCATCTTTTAAGATGGGTTATGTCCTTCCTGGAGGCTGAGAAAGGGTGGATTTAATTCCATCGGGTCCAGTACAGTCCTAGGAGTCTGACAAGTGCAGAGTCCTAAAAATACTAACTTTATAATCAATTAAAATAAATAGAACCATTGAGACAATAATGTATTTTTTTAAAGTGGCAAATGTGGTTTTCTTTTTTCAACCTCTGCGCGTTTTCAGTATTTTGATCATAGGGAGATATTTTTTTTATAATACAAAAGTAAATTAACCACTTGGAATTTTACAAGATGTTATGTGTGTGTGTATGTATATATATATCTATATATCTATATATGTTTATTTCCTAAAAGAGGAAAAAGTACTTTTTTGTTTAACTTGTATCAACTCCTGTTTTCTAATTGCTGTGAAATGGCAACTGTTGGTAAATTATTGTGACTGTTTGAAAATGTAATGGGGAGGATATATTTTGATTTTACCCAGCTTTGATCTGTAAAGTATCACTTAAATATATCTGATAGCAACACTTAAACTATTGCATGGGGATTACTTTTCTGTCATCCATATGCATTTGTGCAACTTTGAATACATTAGGTGCTCCTGAATTCCCGACGATAGGATTGAAAGTATTGAAAATCAGAAAACTTAAACTTAGACTTTATAAAATTTTAATTTTCTATTCTTAAAATTCAGTTAATACCTATAATTTGAAATCTGTTGCTCATTCTCATTAGATGTTTTATTGGAAATTCCTAAAATTGTTAGTGCCATCAGTGATTTAAAAACAGTATTTTGATATTGCAAATGATTTGCTCATTGTATTTGCATAGTTAGAAAACAGTTTGTAGACAGTGGTTCTCTTTTTTTTAATAAAATAAAAATTCTAAAAAGCAGTAGAGAATTTAAGTAAACACTGGTTCCCAAATGCATAGCTGGTATTTTAATTTCTATTCAGATTCTACATAGAGAATCGTCTAGCTGGTTTTCCCATTGATCATTCTCAAACACACCTACATGGTCCTAGAGTCCTTGATTTTGAGAAGCACCTAATGTGACTTTTTGTTATGCTTGCCTTTAAGAAGTTTGCCCAGGTGCTTCTGCTTTGATTTGAAAATTTGCTTCTTCATAAATTACTGCTATGTCAGTTGCTGTTAAATTTTTAGCATCCATTTGCCCTGTGCAAAGTTGATGTGTGCTGCCGGCTGAACTGCTGCTCAGACAGCTTTCTGAGGGAAAAAGCTACTCTGTTTCAAACGCACTGCCATTTCAGCTCCTCTGGAGTGGAGCTTCCTTCCTGGAGCAGGGATTTTAGAGATTGAAATAGGTGATCAATTAGATTTATCCTGTAATTTAAGGTCATGCAGCTCTGTGGCCTTTGCAGTACTATTTATAAAATGGACCCTGATGGTAATGATCTCTTTAAAACACATTACTGGCAAGCCCATGATTTAGACACATTGGTGCTGTCTATCTGATTTTAAGGCAGATGTTGTGGCTTCTCTATTGAGAGTTAGGTATGTGAGCATCTCTAAAGCAGTGTTGAATGTAATTTTGAGATACATGGATTGTGTATTTTGATTTTATTTTATAAATACACAGACCCCTAAATAGTGCCTTTTTTCTTAACAATCCGTGTTGGAACATGCTCACTCCTTTCTCTGTTTCTAGTTTCTCTCTTTGCCTCTCTCCCCCACCCATAGTTGATTCATTTATGCAATACTGTTTCCAATTTACAACCATTTTGTCACATCTGTTGGAGAGATAATCACTCCTTTTCCTTAACATTTTGCCAGCTTTCTGTTGTTAAAGTGTTTCAGTTGATTACCTGATGCAAAAGCTGTAAAATAAACACCCAGTGGGAAGGGGAAAAATGGTTTGGTGTCCTGTTTTAATATTTTCTTCTGTAGCCTTCACACTGATGGCCATTATTCTAAGCAGACCGAGTGTTCAGTGTCATCAACTTGACCCTCAGGTATGATGGCCACCAGAAAGGTTTGCACAAACATTGGTCTCTAATAATTTTATACAGCTTGTTTGTGAAGATATTTTATCCTGACTGACATGCCTCTATTGCATTTTGCTTTGTACTTCATCATTGGTATTAAAGTATACTCGGGTTATACAGTTAATTGGAAGAAAAAAAGAAAAATAGGGAGCAGACTGTCTACTTAAGACTAAAAAGAAAATTTGCAAGGAAAAAAAGTTAACCTGATTAACATTTATTGCAGACTTTATATGTCCATAATGTTTCTTTGAGAAAACACATTTCTAATGATGATGTTTTTAAGAATTTTCAAAGGAGAAAATCTCAACTACATAGATTTTCAGTTCCCAAGCACTGACTCATCCTGTTATCTCCATTTTACTAAAGTCACGCTGCTAACAACGGACCTGCATTTGAATTCCAGCCCCTTGTTAGCAGCTTGACTTTAGTAAAATGGAGATAACAGGATTATTGTAAAGGTTGGACACATAGACACTAGGTGCTGGGCCAGGGCAGACTGAACAACCCATAGCTTTTAGTATGCTCTGTTGGGGTATCGGTGTGAAGCTGACCTGTCCTCTGATCCTGAGTAGTGGTTGGGTCACTTGAGAAAACGTATTTTTTATAAATATTTTTGAATGCCATTGAATTTGCTTTTCACTGTTAAGAACTTACTATTTGTTGTTGTTAGTTGCCATTGAGGCTGTTCCAACTCATTGTGACCTCATGTAAAACAGAACGAAACATTGCCTGATTTTGTGCCATCTTTGTGATCATTGGTGTGTTTGAGTGCATTGTTGAGGCTGTTGTGTCAATCCATCTAATTGAGGGTTTCCTTTGGGGGGGGTCTCTTTTACCAACCATAATGTCCTTTTCTAGTGATTGGTTCTTCCTCATGACGTGTGCACAGTAGGCAAGCCAAAGTCTCACCATCCTCACTTCTAAGGAGCATTTTAGTTATATTTCTTCAAAGACTGATTTGTTTGTTCATTTGGCAGTCTATACTATGTTCTTAATACCTGTTATCATTTAAAAAAAAAAAAACCTCACTGCTGTCAAGTCATCTCCGACTCATAGCGACCCCTCCTTGGATTTCTGAGGCGGTATCTCAACGAAAGTAGATTGCACAGTCTTCTTTCCGAGGAGTGGTTGGTGGGTTTGAACAGCTCCTTATTTTAAAATATTTCCCTAGCATAGATAATTCTTGATTCTGATACCTTTTACTCTTTCCAGGTAGAAATCTCCCATGAGAAAAGGAGTTAATGTTCATTGTTTTAAAAGGATGGACTTGACTTTCCCAGATGTTGTCATGTTCATATATTGGCAGTATGGACTGCTAGGTAGTACATGTATGAAACTCGGGATACCTGTCATAAAATGTTTTACACTCTTCCAACAAAAAAGAAACTATCCAGTAAGAGGACACTTACTTTAGAGTTACAAGTTAGCTGATCTTGTTAGAATGCTAGGTTTTTAGGATATCTGAAAAATAAACTTAATATGTGATGACTGTTGCCTAAATTTACATATTTTATTGTTGTGATCATCACAGCTGCTTTTTGAAGCAACAGTTGAACATTCTGAAAAGTATAAAAAGGCAAATCTCAAATCACAGTTGACCTGTTTTCTTTCTCTGAAGGAACCCCAGTTGCCTTAGCTTGACTTCATCCCACCCTGTCTTAACCTTTGTTACCACAGAGTACAGGTAGCAC